ATGTATATATTCTGGTGTTCAGACTGCGAGCCCTAATATCCCTTTAATATACTGATATATTTACTTTATATATTTTGAGCTATACTATATAGCTAAACATTACATATTATTACGTGATGGTAGAATGTTTTAACATGATTTTTTATACATAAATCATTACATAATTATAACTTCTTAAAAATGTTTTTTGCTTAGATGACTTAAAAGTTGCTAAGAAAAAGGCTAATAAAGCTAGAACTACTAATGAGCTTTCTTCAAATAATGAAGATATTAGAAAAGAACGAATACGAAAAAAGCAAAGAAATAAAAATCGAAAAAAACGATTCTCGGATACTAATGATACGTCATTAGATAATAGCTCGAACGATGGAAATAGTTACCCCATCTTATCTTTTACAAATTTAGAAAAATCAACCAGTGGTAAATATTATCTATGAGTAAAGCTCACAATTGAACATGTAACATTGTTTACATATGTAATATATATGGTTTCTTTAATTTTACAGACACTCACCAAGTGATTACTATGCACAAACATAAAAGTACAAATGAATATGAAAATAGTAAGTATAATTGTGAGTAATAGTACAGTTGTAAAAAGATGGCAAATATGTGGTGGATACAAATTGTTAAAACACGATTAATATGTGAATTATAATATATCATATTATTTTACTTTTCTGTAGATTTTACGAATTTTACATCACCTACAACTTCGGCTATTGTGAGCGAGAATGCTTCTTCAAAGTATCAGTCGTTACATACAAGTGAGTAAACTATGTTCGTACAATAATATTATTCCTTTAAATTTTATGAATATTTCTATTTATTCATATACTATTTGTGTGAAATATTTGCGAATTATTGTTGATTCTTAAATTTCAGAATATTTTGAAGAAATCGTGAAAGAAATAAACTTACTACATCTAAAAGTTAATGATATGTTAGCCAGCATTAACGTTATCATTAAAAGCAGGGTTGTAAAAAAACATGTTTAAAAAGAAAAAAACAAAACATTATGTTTTTTCTGTTTAAATCTGTTTTTTATGTTTTAAACTTGTTTAAAATAAGTGCAAAAAGAAACATATTTAAAACATGAAAAAACATGTTTTAAACATGTTTTTAAACGTATGTAGGTATATGAGAGAGACTTTTAATTCAGTTTAAACGTTTTACTTCCAACTTCCTGTGTACTTAAAATAATCTTAAATACAAGAGCATCGCACAGGACCTGCACAAAACGCAATCAAAATTTCGCAAATCTGCGTTACCCACTTGGCAAAATGTGGACATTGGCTATGTGGTTCATATCCACGTTTTTCAATGTCTACAGAGGGCGTATCGCTTTCGTCAATCACGAAAAACGGGGCCGTGGCAGCTCTCAGGCTTCTCTCTGGTAGCATGTATCTCCTCTCTTGTAGTTGTTTCTACATACATAGGGGGGACTCGGATCCGTTCCCAAACGCAGCCAAAGCGAATCAGCCGATAGGGGATCCTCTTAAAATCTCTGATTATATAAAAGTACGTATCTAAACACTACAATATAAAAGTTAGGTTAGTTAAGTTAGGTTAGATTAAGTTATATCTGACATTTACACTGTTATTTTGTAAAGGTTCATAAAAATAAAGAAATATGACCGGTAGACGACAGGATGCAGTTTGGCAATATTTTATTAAAATAAAAAATGATAAGAAGCCATTAAGAGCAAAGTGTAAGCATTGTGGAAAAGAAATGTGTTCTTTAGTAGCACGTATGAAAATGCATATATTTAAATGCAAACACTTAAATAAAGTTGGTTCAGTAGACAATCCACCTGAAGTAGTCGACATTGAACATAATGAAAGTACAAAAGAAAACAGTAAGTACATAAGTACACTATATTATACAGGTTATTATATAATATATTAATTATATAATATATATAATATATTATAATATATATAGTAATTAAATAACTGTCTACGTAGCACAAGCTGCACAAGTCTTTCAAAGACTTTCCAAGAATGTTCTGAGGGCTTCTAAATCTCATGACATTTTCAATATTTGCTACAAGAAATTATTATTCTCTCATAACCATGATTATTTATATAGTGCGCACACTTATATAGTAACGATAGCTTCAATTTTTATATTATTACGTATATTCTCTTTTTAGTATTAGAGAGTAAAAAGCAGTGTATAACCTATAAAAAATATTTATCAACTTTATCAAATACTTTCTTTTCGTTGCAGATCCACCAACACATGAAAGAATAGATAAAGATGATAACATTGAAATAAACACTATTAACGAGAATAACGAGTCTTCTGACAGTTCTCACATCAGTGGTAAATTAAACTTCCAAAATAAACGAAGCAAAATGGTTGATCTCTCTGAAACTGTTCCACAAACTCAATCGCCATTATGTTCAACAAGCTCAACATTATTTTCAATGACTTCGTCAAACTCGGAAATGTCAAGCACGAATTTGAATTCTTTTGTGATAAGAACTACAAATGTTGAAAGGAAGAATATTGATTTACAAATAGCCAAATTTGTATATAGTACAAATTCATCATTTCGGCTTGTAGAACACAAAGAGTTTAAAAATATGATTAGTTTGTTACGTCCGGGTTATAAACCGCCAAATCGTCATACAATTGCTAATGAATTATTAGATAATGTTTTTACTTCCGTAAGACAAAGTATGGAAAAAGACTTGAAAGGTAAGATAGTTTGTATGGCGATGGATGGCTGGAGCAATCTTCATGTTGAACCATTAATTTGTATCTCAATAACTGATGTGTTAGAAGGAAATATTCACTTAATAGATACAATAGATACTGCTGAGAATAGGCATACTGCAGATTACTTGTTAAAATTAGCTGTCACAGCAATAAAAAGATGCCAAAGATTTGATTGCTCTATTAGAAGTTTTGTTACTGATAACGCAAGTAATATGGTAAAAATGCGAAGTCAACTTGCACAATGTGAGGAAATATTTATGCCAGATATAATAACGTACGGTTGTTCTGCGCATATCTTAAATTTGTTAGCGAAAGATATTAACGTACCAGAACTTAAAGACAATGTAAAGACGATAATTAAATATTTTAAATATTCTCATTATCCAGCATCAAAATATAAACAAGAAGGTGGTACTTCTCTCATTTTACCGTTAGATACTCGTTGGAATACCCTATGCAATTGCTTTGAATCGTATATAAAAAATTGGCATATTTTAGCTAAGATATGTACAGAAAATCGTGCTGCAATTGATATAAAAATAAGTACTCAAGTTCAAAATCTTGATTTAAAAAGTAATATACAGAATATTGTACTTAAATTACGTAAAATTGCCGTTGCGTTGGATAAAATTCAGGCTGAAACATGTACTATCGGTGAAGTAACTCAAATATGGTTAAATTTATCTGAAGATATTAAAGAAGAAACATTTACCCAACAAGAAATACAGTGCTTTCAAAATCGTTTTAATATGGCTATAACACCACCACATTATCTAGCCAACTTATTAGATCATCGTTTTAGGGGACAAAAATTGAGTCAAGACCAATTAGAGGAAGCTCTAGAATATGCAGCTACATATCACGCTGAAGCCATGCCATTTATAATAAACTATCAATCAAAATGTTCACCATTTAGAGAATTTTTATTTTCTCCTCAAAATATTGAAAACGTTAGTCCATTATCATGGTGGCGTGCTCTTCAGAATTCTATAAATAATGCTATGTTCGATTTGTCTATGCAGTTGCATACAGCTGTTGCTTCCTCTGCAGGTATCGAACGATTATTTTCTACTTTTGGTATAATACATAATAAATTACGAAATAAATTAGGAACAGAAAAAGCGGCAAAATTGGTCACAATTATGAGAGCCTACAATTCCAATAATTCACTTCTAGAAGAAATTTAAACGATAAATAAGCTATGTACATGAAATGTACTTGTATGAGTATTTCGAGTATTTGTATATTGTACATTATAGCTTATATTTATTGTTTAAATGTAGAATAACTATTTCACGGAATTTTATTTGAAAAAAATTTGTTTATTTGGTTTTATTATATGTGTGTATACATATATATTTATTAATGTTATAATACTTATATATAATATATAAATTT